TTGGGCCTAATTTGGACCAAATATGGGCGTGGCTGCCCCGCGGGCACCGTTTGGCGGTTGGGGTCCGGGACCCCCTCAAAAGTTTGGTCACTGGTCCTAGTTTGTTGGTCAACTACTATCTCGAAACCAAGTTTCACAAAAAAATCAGGGTGAACCGTTTGGCGGTTGGGGTCCGGGACCCCCTCAAAAGTTTGGTCACTGGTCCTAGTTTGTTGGTCAACTACTATCTCGAAACCAAGTTTCACAAAAAAATCAGGGTGAACCCCCCCCCCCCCCCCCCCCCCCCTTAACCCATTAAGAATTGTATTTGTGGATTAATTTACATTTACATACGGTACACATCAATATTAATACCAATACCTTACAATCTCCACTTTTTAAATTCAACTTATAACAATTTTAGGGGTAATGAGTCCGGAACTGGCAAAAGCACGAATTGATCCGCTCAGCCACGCAAGGTGGATAACTATGCGTTCTAGGGTCCTACGACTGTACATGTCTGCAAATGCCCCGCCATGAAGCATGTACCCTAAACTTCGGAAATTATTTTGTTATTTATAAGTATAGAAGCTCAGTTGTTTATAATTATGGTGCAGTTACTGTTAGTGTTAACTTGTTCGATGAAATGACAATGGTTAAGAAAAAGGGTAAAGTTTACCGGAAAATTTGTTTAGTAGTTAAAGTTTTAGGAAATTATTTTTATTTTGCACACCCCATAAAATTCTAATTGCCATGTTATCTGACGATTGTTTTAATTTTAGGTAAGAGGCTATATAGATAATATTTCTGAGCTTAGAGTAAGAAATGTTTTGTCTTTCAGCTATTTTTGCCTAGGTTCATGAATGTTAAGTTAAGGCCACTACTAGTATATTCAGAGTTCATAGAGCAAGCTAGATGGTACTGGTAGTTGGGTATTATTTAAATTGTTGTGTACGTGCCGGTAAATGATCCGCCCAGTTTAAATTAGATTCATCTAGATTTGTTATCATTCACTTCTTCGCCGAACCATTTACTTTATTAATATTCTTGTATGATTGATAGTATGATTTCACTGCAATTAAAAATTTCAATTTGTTATCACAGTGCTGGCAAGCACGACCGTTGCATTTATTGTGGGTATACTATGTACCCCATTTATTATTATACCCCCTTTACTATAATTATACCCCCTTTGGTACACGTTACAAGCTTCTTTCGTGCACGCGAAGCGTGCACTCCGGCCGGAGGCGGCGGCCGAAGGCCGCCGCCTCCGCAGGAGTTTTTCAGGCATTAAGAAGTCGTTCAGCAGATTTATTTTTAGTTCAAAACATTCTAATTTGATGTCATAGATGACAGGAATAAAAAATAGTTATGTTGAGATTTTTAAGAAATTTGCATAAAATACTCGCCAGCACTGTTATACGAAATTCGGTAAAAAAACCCAAAATCGCCATATTCAGGTGCCTTAAAAACCATATTAAAATTGAGTTAGAGATCTGAAATTTTCAGGGCGTCTAGACGTTGACCAAATCGACTGCAAAAAAGGTTTCAGGCTTCAGGAGCATCGGGAAGTGGGTTTTCTAGAACCCCTGTTTTACGACAGATTGTCGTGATACATATTCAGGGATAGACGCTTTGACAGTCAAATATAGTCAATTGTATCCTAAATTTAGGTGTCCATAGATTCAAAAGTATAAAAGATACAGCCATTTCCGACCACAGGTCTTTAAAATAATTGTTTACACTTTAGTTTACATTGTATAAAAAAATTATTTGACGTCATAAACACCCCTTGATGACGTCATCAAGTTAACCGTTTTTAAAACTTGATTTTCGACAAAGTAATAACTTCTAAAATTGATTTAACACTATTTAAAAGTAATTTTTTTCAACATCTGAGGAAATTTTCATCTTAGATAATTGTTCAAGCATTCTGAAAATCTACCGAAAGTTTTCTTATCTTACTCCTTCATAAAGATATTTGCCTTTGAAGTTAGTGCTTTTTTGAAAAATTATTTTTTTAAAACGTCAATTTTGCGATTTAGTATTCTCTGGTGTTGGGCTATCCCTTGGGTTGTGGAGCTCAGTTCTGCTTCCTATAGGTATAAATTGTGCATTAGGCTAGTTTTAAAGTTGAAAATCAAAAAGTTGCACACGTGGCAGGGACAAAAGGATTTCGCGATTATTTTGGCCAAATTTCGCGGTACCGCGAAATTTAACAGGCTATACATTAAACTACACATAAAATTTGTCGCGGAGAATGGGAAATTTCGCGATTTCGTACATGCCGCGAAATCCTTTTGTCCCTGACACGTGGGGACACGCCCAAATTGATTAAAAATTGCTAAAATCACTGAAAATTGGTGTTTTCACGATTTTTATCAACTTTGGAGTCCCGTTGTGATCCAAGTTCTATTTGAAATCTTTTGAAACTTTGCACGCTTATCAAACTATATATAAAATACCGCTATGCAAAAATTTACGGCGATTCAGTATTGGATGCGCACGTAACGTCCGCTCAAAGTTTGCACGTGCGAACGGTGAGAATTATGCTCATTCGTGATTTCGAACAAATTCTGCTTTACCACGACAGTTCAATGTCATTATAAATGAAGTTAATGGCAAATTGAATGATTATAATGTTTTATGTTCAGTCAGTGATAGACCGATATGCTTACTTAAACACAAGGAAATGTTTTTAAAGTAAAAATTTCGAAATCGTTGAAACTTCCTCCTTATTAATGAAGACATCAGTTTATATTTCGATTTTATAAAGTATCCTGATATGACATTATAATCAAAAAGAGATGATATTTTACCAAAACCGATAATCATGGGTAGAGTGGACCGCTGCCAGTGTCTCTCTTTCCCAAACAAAAGGAAATGATATTAATTTGATTGACCGTTCTCAAATGCAAAATGATACCGAGAATGAAATCGGTCGCTCGCTTTTCCATTAATTTACAATTGTAATAGATTAAGAAGAACTACCCGAAGGCAGCTGTACTCAGCAATAAAGATTCAATAAACTTCAGCTAATTTACTAACTACCAGTACCACCCTTATCCCGAAATACTAGGTATATCGACCCGAACGCAACCCAAAGGAATTTGTACAGCATGTGATTGATTGTAAGCCGTGAATGAATACTAACTAGTAACTACCAGTACCACCCTTATCCCGAAATACTAGGTATATCGACCCGAACGCAACCCAAAGGAATTTTTACAGCATGTGATTGATTGTAAGCCGTGAATGAATGGGAAAAGCGAGCGACCGATTTCATTCTCGGTATCATTTTGCATTTGAGAACGGTCAATCAAATTAATATCATTTCCTTTTGTTTGGGAAAGAGAGACACTGGCAGCGGTCCACTCTACCCATGATTATGGGTTTTGGTAAAATTTAAAATAGCTAATATTCGGCTTTAATTGTTTAATACGTGGACGATTCTTTGACTTTACTGTTGCCGACACGTATTACTATTATTATTAAGTATTACTAATTACTATTAACTGACACCAGCCAATGTTGGTAATGGTAACGGTTTTACTTTGAGATTATATCATTTTCAGCATAAGCAAGCATTTCGTGGGATGTTTTGATTGTAATATTGATTATGACGAAATTGAGTTATTGATGGAATAAAATTTAAATTTTTGTCCCGCTTAAAGAAGCCACTTCAAATCAACCAGGCGTTTTTATTTAATGACAAGATTATGAGGAACTGGATAGTACGCTACGGCTAGGTAGCGCAGTTGGTTAGAACGCCAGCTTTGCAATCGCGAGGTTGCGGGTTCAAATCCCACTGTCTGCCAGTCTGCACTCTGCCTGGTCGTGGGGTGAGCGTCGTTGACGTTCAGCTAAGGATCCTGAGTGGTCTATGCAGCCCCCCGGTCTACTCAGCCGAATATTACTCGAGAAATCAGGTGTGAGGGTTAAATGAGGAGCTGCACATTGCAGCAAAGTCTCGGGCGAAGACTGTATGGTACACACTACCTTAACCGTCACTGGCTAAAAACAAATCCTTCGGCTTCCTGTATAATTGGCTGGTTGCACTTGTACGTGTAACAATGTGGCTGTTGGAATACTCCGAAGTAAAATAAGTGTCTTGATAAAAAATACGAGTAACTTGTTGTAGGTTTATAAGTTACCAATGATCAAGAGGCGCGCCGAGCTAGTTGGACTCGTTACGAGTATCACTAACTAAGTAACTCGTAACAGTAACACTATATAGCGAACTGGTGACATCGCGTTTATTGCAACATTTATTAGCAAGCCAAAATTAAAAGTTTCGATTTGCACACTGTATCTCGACATACAACATACAATGTATATCGTCACGCATGTTATATTGCCATTTGGTAGAATGCCTACTCGAAGTCGATACGCTAGGGACCCCAGATATTACCTGGGGACCCCAGGCTATTATTTCCATAAACATAATAATGATGAATAAAGATTCGGCGGAATGACAGGCTGAGCGCCGCCCAGTATGCAGTAACCCCAAATACTACTCCGTATTTTTGACCGTAGAATTTATTAAATGTGGTCCTGATATAAATAATTAAACTTAACGGGTGATACTCGTAAAATATCTGTTCCATATATTAGGACCGTCGACGAGTCCAACTCGGCGCGCATCCTGGTAGGTTGTAAACCTACAAAATTAAACTAGACTGAGTAATACAACGTATGACAACGAGATATAGTGTATGCATTTGTTTTAAAACCGCCCAGTTCCGCACGATCGAGTCCAGACGCCACGCACGCGCGTGGCGTCTGGGTAGATTATAATTATATTGACCTACTACAAGTACAAAACTTATCGGACGTAATTTGACCGAACATAATTTTGAATGGATATCAAAATAAACGCTAAATTCTTAACCCCCTCCTTAATAAGTTTTACAACTATTGTGTTAAAATTATACTAATCATTTAGACACCCCTCCCTCCCCCCATGCAGTGACTACGTATTAATATTATGTGAGTGTAAATGTTAAAAGATACACGGTAATATGAAGGTGGTCCAAGTTCATGGACAAGTAATTTCATTCAACAAATTTTACAGATGTAGAACAATTGATTCAAACAATCCATTTTTTTTGAGAAATTTTCAACGATATAATATCAACTATCAAAACTTTGCTGAAAACCGTTTAACAATCATAATTTAGCTCTGTAAAGATATAATTTTTATTGTAATAAGTAATAACTCCTGAGCTTCTCCTTTTTCGGTCATTCAAAAAATTCATCTTCGGATGAATCACAGCACTGAGCACAGAATCATGGAAAAGATACCAAAGAATTTCAGATTATTAGCTTCACAACAAGTAAAGGTAAATCTTCCCTTTCAAAAATAAATCGATAATTCAAAACTTCTGAATTTCAAAACCTTAATTAGTAGTATATTTGCCCATGAAATTTTTACGATTTTTCGTTTCACAATCCCGAAAGAATTCAACAAAATCAGGAAATATTACACAAATAAATATACGAATTGATCAGCTCTACTCTCAATACATCCGTAAAATGGAAAAAAACTTACGTATAAATTTCTATCAATCAATTTTAAGTCTCAAAATCATTAATCAAGTCTCTGGTGATCACAAACAATGACATACGATGCGGTGGAAGATGACCCGAAGGTCACGTGACTAGTTTGTAACGTGTCTATCTTGTCACGTGACTAGCCTGTCACGTGTCTATCTAGTCTTCTTGTCTTCGGAGGGTCCCGGAGGAGCTGAGGCTTGACTACTGCTACTGCTCGGCTGAGACTGAAACCATGTTATCAGAGTTAGGATTGTGTCTACTGCTCAAAGTAAAGAAGTAAAGAGAAATATTATAGATTGGAATGCTACGCTGAACGATGTTAATTAATTATTAATAAGTTAATAAATTCATAAGTTAATAAGTTAATAAGTTAATAAGTTAATAAGTTAATAAGTTAATAAGTTAATAAGTTAATAAGTTAATAAGTTAATAAGTTAATGATTTAGTCAGTTGATTATTTAATGATTTAATAAGTTAACTAATTAATAAGTCAACTATTTGATAAGTTGATTATTTGATAAGTTAATGAGTTCATTAATGAGTTAATAAGTTATTTAATTAATAAGTTACTAACATTAGGATTGTTCACGTAGACTGTATTCGAGTTGTCAGCATACATAGCCTGTCCAGCGGCTGAAAATCATACTGCTTAGGAATTTGGGGGGGGGGGGGGGGGGGGGGCCAACCATATTAAAGTATATTAAAATGTAGGATTTTTCCCGATTTTGACCCGGGGATATACTTTAATATACTTTAATATACCTACAATATACTTTAATATATCCCTATCTCCTTGGAGCCTACATCAAAAATTGTTGCCCAAAATAAGCTTGATATGCAATTCTTAATCGATTCCAAAAAGTTCTTGAAAAAATATTGAAAACTGAGGGAGTTATTTCAATTTTAATGAAGTCATTTTGGCTAGTATTCCGAACCGAGATATTATGTGCAATTTCCCAATTTGTTCATGGAGGTCTTTTTACGTAGTATCTACTATATTCAACAAACACTGAGTTATATCTTTCTCATAGAGTTAGTCTCATTAAAAATATTGAAATTTTATCGAATTTGGGTAAAAGCGAATTTGGGCAAAAGCATATGCCCAAATATGGGCATATTTTTTTAAGCTCTTAGCTCAGCCAATTTTTGACCAATCCGGATGGAAATTCATGTACTAGTCCTAGAACAGGCTTATCTTGCGAATCTAAGTGAAAAATATAGTTCATCATGTAAATCTTAACGAAGAATATAAATCTTCTAATTGTAGGTATATTAAAGTATATTAAAATGTAGGATTTTTTCCGATTTTGACCCGGGGATATACTTTAATATACTTTAATATGGTTGCCCCCCCCCCCCCCCCCCCCCCCCCCCCCCCCCCCAATTTTACATACTTTTTATAATCAGTCATAAATTTCAATCAAATCAGCTTCAGTATAAAATCATTGAGTATAGTTTTAGTAAATTATATGAGTACTAATTAAATAGAGGTATTTGTACCTGCGTTATATGATGGTCCGGGTGCTCCGTAAGTTGGGTTATACGGCGGAGCAGCAGTTGAGGGTCCCGCATCATACTGACACAAGAGTAAATGATAATAAATACAAACTTTAAACAAAGATGGGAATACTTGCTTATATTTAATAGGCTGAGATTAAATTATATTTCAATGCACGAAGGTCGAGGTGGTAGTACATAATATAATGGCTGAGATGTTTCGAGGTTAAAATTAGCAAACAACTGACCATGTAGCTGGGAGGGGCGGTGTAATTGGATGGGGGAGGAGCGGAACTGTCGTATCCGGGAGGAGGGGGAGGGGGAGGATATGCTCCTGGAGGGACAGCGTATCCTGGTCCAGGTTGTGGAGCGTACCCTGGTCCAGGTTGAGCGTACCCTGGTCCAGGTTGAGCGTATCCTGGTCCAGGTTGTGGAGCGTACCCTGGTCCAGGTTGAGCGTATCCTGGTCCAGGTTGTGGAGCGTACCTGAGAAGAAGTTAAACTTTACTTTAACAAGACGTCCACTCTTGTAAATCTGAGTCTCAGATTTTGCACAAAAATGTTAATCTTGGGGGTTTCAAAGCACAATAATAAACAGATCAGAAATAAGTGTAAGATAGTTAATTAACAAACTAACCCGTATGGAGGTGCGTTTCCATTTTCGTTGTAGGGAGCCGGAGGAGCACCGTAAGGGTTGTAGTCAAATGAATCGTATGTTGGTGGTAGTTCTGTGGGAGCTGCTCCGCCTGATATAATGACGTGAGGGATATTGTAAATAATCTGATCTGAGTGGATCGAAAATAAACGAAGTTTACTTTTTTAGTTGGGACCTGAGACCTAGGACTTCATTTAAAAGTAGAATATCTCCGTCAAACAAAACCACGGTTAAATGGTCCAAAATGGCGCCGCTAACCCACCTTGTTGCATGTGACGAAGATGTTTCCCAAACTGTATAGCGCCACCAGAACTGAAAATTAACTTAAGTTTTGCGGTACCATCCCAGCCTCCGCCTGGTTCGGCTCGCACGATACTTTTTACGTTGTTCGCTCCGAACAGAGGTTGTTCCAGCTTAAAAGTTGGCAGTTTTAAGAGCATCGAGCAAGCGAATCAAAGATCAGATCATACAGTCAATCGTCTTGTTTTTCTGTGGCTGGTCACATCAGTCACATGCTTTACAAAATAAATAAAGAACGATGCGGAAAACTCTTCAGATTATTACCTCTACATTGGAAATGGACCCAAAGTCAGCGGAAAAAGAGTGCAAGTTTTTGGAATCCTTAGAAAGGAATATAACCCGTCGGTTGGTTAGGTAGATCTCCCCAGCAGCACTCTTAACTAGCTTGGGAGGGAGGTTGTTGCCATCCAGATGAAATTCTACAGACTTGGTCCGACTCACAACCCTGCAAATTCAGTTTAGTTAGTTAAAAGGAAATTGTTAAAGTGCGGTGTAGCATTGCTTTACTTGAGTTCCCCTCTTGTGAGCTTGTAGAGTTAACGCAACGATCACAACATGTAACAAATTGAACCAACTATAAATTATGTCAATTATGTGGACTTTGGCAGGATGGTGCATTTAGACTTTAGTGCTCACGCCATGGGTCGCTCTGACGTAAGTTTGCCTGTTACCGACCTGTAGCCAACAGTGGAACAAATTTAACATTACTCAATGTTGGCTACAATTTGGTGACAGCGAAACAGTTACATCCCATGTTAGAAATGAAACCTACCTTTCGCCAGGCATGAGTAGAAGTCTTCCGGGTCCATTAGATGCAGTGTTAACTGACATCTACTGGTGCTAGAGGGAAATAATGTTTAGTCTATTACACAGACACATTATTTAAATCAAGTTCGTTAATCAGGATATTATTAGAGAATATGAGACGTCGTATTTCATAAGCATGATAAGGATGAACAATATCAGCCAAGCGTGCGGCGCGCACGATTTGCGAAATCGACTGAAATGAGGATAAAGATTTTCAATACACCATCGTCTCAGCGCCTTACAGGATAGACGGGCTGACTGTAGTACCGCCCGAAAATGAGATCATGAACTTTGATAATAAAACAGATCGCCTGTCAAGATTAGTAAAATTGGTCAACCATTTAATCATATACAATATTATAGCTCAAGATAAAACGAATTAAGTGTCCCAAATATATTTCCAATCCTCTATTTCCCCCAGATCCATTTGGTGAATCCTAAGATACCCGAAGATTCCTTTTCGACCCTCTCTTCGAGATCCGGGAATTCTGAAATGTGGGATGATGAAAAGTCATAAAATGGAGTTTAAAATAACTACTGATATTTTGACTCACAAATCACAATATGAATAACAAACTCAAAACAAAACACTGGTTACCTATATGATTGAGCGAGATATCAAAGAAAGTGGGTTTGCAAGGTATAGGCTGGAAATCTGGAGGTAGCGTGGCTATCGTAGGTAAATCGCTCTCGTTCTTTAATATTTTAAATTCTTCCAAACTGTCGGCCAGCATCTGTAGATGAGTATTGTTAGAGAATGTCAACATTAAGCTACAATCTCGCCAGGCCGCAAAGAAGCAGGTAAAAAAGTCAATTATTTGAAATGATCGATAGATTTAAATTATTACGATGCAATCAATGCTACTTTCTTGCTCTTGATGGCAGGAACAACGTCTAGAAACATTACCTTGTTTTTATCAGATGAAATCTCTTTCATTTCCTCTTCTACAAGTTGGGTTTGTAAGAAAGCGGAGGCATGTGCTGAACATCTCTGGCTGTATATCTGTTTACTTAACACTTGCAAATCTTCTATCATAGACTGAACAATTATTAGATTTAGTTAAATATCTCGGGTCTAAACAACTGATCAGTTATAAAAAAATGTTAATTATGGGTATTCATATCAATATAATGTGAATGTTATCTTTACATTTTACAGATACAATGTTAACATGCCACTTTCTGAGATGACTCTAAAAAATGACGGATAAAAAAACACAATTTTTATTGGATAGTTGAGAGAATATTAGAATAAACCTGATTTGTATTGGATAGTTGAGAGAATATTAGAATAAACCTGATTTTTATTGGATAGTTGAGAGAATATTAGAATAAACCTGATTTTTACTAGATTGAAGAGCGTTAGCTGCCTGAATTGTCTGCTCAATATGTTCACTGCACTTATCGTACAGTACAATAGCATTCAACCAGTTACTTTGACCTAAGTGACACTCTGCTATATAGAAACACCTGAATTTAGAATTAAATTAAAAAGATCAGGTTAAATTAAAATAGCGATATTTATTATAATCAATTTAATTTGTTTCCAAATAGTCTTCATTAATGTAGTAAATACACATAGAGCTAACCGTTTAGTCCTGTAATACATAGTATTAACATCAATCATCTGATAGGTATCTCCATCTTTATCGAGAGAAGTAACATCCCTCATATCCGCATAGTTCTGCAAGATAATATCGTATAGCCGCACCAGGTCCTCAGGTCTGGCTATTTTAGAGCCAGCTCTAGTCTCCACAACTCCTGCTAGTCTGTCTGCTACCTGTAGGGTGGCTAGTTTAGTGGCACTGTTGTGGAGACAGGTCTGGCTATTTTAGAGCCAGCTCTAGTCTCCACAACTCCTGCTAGTCTGTCTGATACCTGTAGGGTGGCTAGTTTAGTGGCACTGTTGTGGAGACAGGTCTGGCTATTTTAGAGCCAGCTCTAGTCTCCACAACTCCTGCTAGTCTGTCTGCTACCTGTAGGGTGGCTAGTTTAGTGGCACTGTTGTGGAGACAGGTCTGGCTATTTTAGAGCCAGCTCTAGTCTCCACAACTCCTGCTAGTCTGTCTGCTACCTGTAGGGTGGCTAGTTTAGTGGCACTGTTGTGGAGACAGGTCTGGCTATTTTAGAGCCAGCTCTAGTCTCCACAACTCCTGCTAGTCTGTCTGCTACCTGTAGGGTGGCTAGTTTAGTGGCACTGTTGTGGAGACAGGTCTGGCTATTTTAGAGCCAGCTCTAGTCTCCACAACTCCTGCTAGTTATAGTCTGTCTGCTAACTGTAGGGTGGCTAGTTTAGTGGCACTGTTGTGGAGACAGGTCTGGTTATTTTAGAGCCAGCTCTAGTCTCCACAACTCCTGCTAGTCTGTCTGCTACCTGTAGGGTGGCTAGTTTAGTGGCACTGTTGTGGAGACAGGTCTGGCTATTTTAGAGCCAGCTCTAGTCTCCACAACTCCTGCTAGTCTGTCTGCTACCTGTAGGGTGGCTAGTTTAGTGGCACTGTTGTGGAGACAGGTCTGGCTATTTTAGAGCCAGCTCTAGTCTCCACAACTACTGCTAGTCTGTCTGATACCTGGCAGGGTGGCTAGTTTAGTGGTTCATCCAACAACAGCCGGATATTAAGATATTATTCAATCAATCTCCAGTACATATTATAAACTATGAAATAAAATAATGCTGCTATTTTATTATATTTTTCAATTATCTAGTACACCATACTAAAGTAGAATATGTATATTTATAGTGAACCTGTTGAGCCATAGCCAGGAACCGATCTACAGTGTTTTTAATGCGAATGTAGGTGAAATAATCCGTCATTAATTCCAAACTCTCTGTCTTGTCACCCTTCTTAATCTGTTGGGAGATTTCTCGGCAGGCTGATAATATCTCCTCGTACAGTTCCAGTCGCTTATCATGGTCGCTACATTCCTGAAAAGCAGAGTTTGTTACACATCGTATTACGATAGTATCGGGTTTGTATAAGTAGAGTTCGGAAAACGCAATATTGAATTTAAACTGCGATCATTTTTAGAAACAAGAAAAACTGAAACTTAGATTGAGACGTAATGAACTAGAAAATGACCTTTGCAAGTTGGATATTATCTTCCATTTGCACCAGTTGTATCTTGATATCATCGTTAGATATGGTGAAACCTTTACCTTCCCATTTGATTTCACGAACTGAAAATGAGAGTATTGATATAAAAGAGGCTTGATTTATTCCAATCAAAAGTTTCACCCATATAGAAAGAAGGCAACAATAATATATTATATATATAATTGTCTATCTACAAGAATCTAAATAAAACAGTTGCTGGACTATCAAGAGTTCAACTGAACTACCTAAAACTTCAATAGAGCTGTTCATACTAAACTCACTCAGTATTAACAACAAATCACACGACATTAAAATACCAGGTGTCTCTACAGAACATACCAGCGGCAGCAGATTTAGTGGCCTTGTTAGCGATGATACTATCCAGCTCCTGAGACAATCCTACCTTATATGGGCATCATGTGTCACGACCCTACCTTATATGGGCATCACGTGTCTCTACAGAACATACCAGCGGCAGCAGATTTAGTGGCCTTGTTAGCGATGATACTATCCAGCTCCTGAAACAACCCTACCTTATATGGGCATCACGTGTCTCTACAGAACATACCAGCGGCAGCAGATTTAGTGGCCTTGTTAGTAGCCCGGTTCATAAAACAAAAATATTATCCAATAATTACGGCGATAGGCTTATCTGTTGTTCCTTAGGCCAAATAACTACCAAAAAAATTTTGAAGCTTCAACTCCAACCGGAAACACCCCCACATGCCACGCCCATTTTTTTCATCAATTTTTAACAGGTAAAAATCTTCATATCATCAATTTAGGCATGAAGGAGTGCTTTTAGTGCTCCAACAGTTTGGGGTCTAATAGTAATGGTAGAAAAAGGTTAACTTTAGTCAAAGTCTCAAGTCTCCACGGCGCTTGGTTTAGGCGCACCGGATCTCGCGTCTCGCGCCTCCGCCGCGAGATTTGTTGCGCCAAAACTAAAGGTCGTAGAGACATGAGACTTCGACTAAAGTTAACCTTTTTCTACCATTACTATTAGGAAAGCACATCAACAATGTCTCAAACACATTCCTTCATGCTTTAATCAACAATTTTATAGATTTTACCTGTTAAGATATATTTAATAATTATCTGCTGGATATTTCATTAGTGGGATTCCCTTCAAGTTAGGATCAGTGTTAGCATAGACGATATAGACCATCCTCTCTCAACCTGGACATCCTGAAGATGTCACTTCTACGCCATCAGCTTGGACTTCACTGGAGGACGAAGAAGAAGATCCAACAAATGGCGCTGTTTGCCGTCTTCGTTTACCTGGAAGCATGGTTCACCTCTGGATCACTCTTCTCTGCTGCTTCCAACGACCTCAAGCTGCACAGGAGAATCCAGAAGTTCTCGAAGGTGAACAAGAAGGTATCCTGTTCCACAGCTAGTGTTATCAACAGGCATACTTGGTACCTAACTGAAGATCTCGTCCCTCTGGCTGTGTTTGACGAATCCTTACCTTTGGAGACGAGGAACCTGATCGCAAAGAAGATTGGTCAACTTCCATCAGTCCTCCCTGAAATCAGAAAATTGACTCTTCCAGCCCTCGCTAAGGAATCTTCCCTGATTGATTTCGTCGGTCCTCGTTCAACCTTGATCTTCAGCCTACTTGAAGTTCCACACACATTCTTGGATGCTGAGGATTGGATATCTACCCCTTCTTACAGCAAATCACGTAGTTTACTTCAGAAACTAACTCCTCTGAATGACTCATCAGAACGGGCACTAGCCTTAGCAACAAGACTCAACTCACACATGACGAGAGACGAGGAGTCCTTTCAGGAGCTGGTCCAAGCGGTGGAGTCTCACAGGAAGAGATTTGGACTGGAGACCAAGGACGATCTTAGGAAGCTTTATTAGATTTTATGTGTAAATGTTGTTTGATATTGATTTTATTTTATTCTTAAACATAAACTGTCGTATTTAATCTATTAGCAAACCAAATATATACTTTGTCTTGACGTATCCTCGTTAGTCGTTAGTCTCGAAGAAATCATCAGACCTTATTAAAAGTGATCGGTTACCCTGTCAGTGACGAGCTATGAAGGAATTATTGGACCTCATCGATGCTGATCCTATCAGTGACGAGTTATGAAGAAATAAGAACCTCATTTAAATCCTAGTTTGACGAAAATATTCCTCTGGCAACGAAGATTAGACAGCTTGCTTGCGAAGGCATCCGAAAGCCAAGGTACCTAGATTATAACCTGCTGACTTCTTTTAACGATTTTAAAGGATCAGTTCCACTTTTACAGGCAAAATCCATATGATTGTTGTTTTAAGGATGAAGGAATGTGTTTAGAGCTCTGAAACTGTGATACTCAAATAGTAATGGTAGAAAAAGGTTAACTTTAGTCGAAGTCTCATGTCTCTACGACCTTTAGTTTTGGCGCAACAAATCTCGCGGCGGAGGCGCGAGACGCGAGATCCGGTGCGCCTAAACCAAGCGCCGTGGAGACTTGAGACTTTGACTAAAGTTAACCTTTTTCTACCATTACTATTAGACCCCAAACTGTTGGAGCACTAAAAGCACTCCTTCATGCCTAAATTGATGATATGAAGATTTTTACCTGTTAAAAATTGATGAAAAAAATGGGCGTGGCATGTGGGGGTGTTTCCGGTTGGAGTTGAAGCTTCAAAATTTTTTTGGTAGTTATTTGGCCTAAGGAACAACAGATAAGCCTATCGCCGTAATTATTGGATAATATTTTTGTTTTATGAACCGGGCTACTTGTTAGCGATGATACTATCCAGCTCCTGAAACAACCCTACCTTATATGGGCACCACGTGTCTCTACAGCACATACCAGCGGCAGCAGATTTAGTTGCCTTGTTAGCGATGATACTATCCAGCTCCTGAAACAACCCTACCTTATATGGGCATCACGTGTCTCTACAGAACATACCAGCGGCAGCAGATTTAGTGGCCTTGTTAGCGATGATACTATCCAGCTCCTGAAACAACCCTACCTTATATGGGCATCAGCCATCACGTGTCTCTACAGAACATACCAGCGGCAGCAGATTTAGTTGCCTTGTTAGCGATGATACTATCCAGCTCCTGAAACAACCCTACCTTATATGGGCATCACGTGTCTCTACAGAACATACCAGCGGCAGCAGATTTAGTGGCCTTGTTAGCGATGATACTATCCAGCTCCTGGAACAACCCTACCTTATATGGGCATCACGTGTCTCTACAGAACATACCAGCGGCAGCAGATTTAGTTGCCTTGTTAGCGATGATACTATCCAGCTCCTGAAACAACCCTACCTTATATGGGCATCACGTGTCTCTACAGAACATACCAGCGGCAGCAGATTTAGTTGCCTTGTTAGCGATGATACTATCCAGCTCCTGAAACAACCCTACCTTATATGGGCATCACGTGTCTCTACAGAACATACCAGCGGCAGCAGATTTAGTGGCCTTGTTAGCGATGATACTATCCAGCTCTTGAAACAATCCCTCTCCGTCCTCTCCCTGTACATTCTCCCCACCCATACTCTGTATATTGTACAGACAGTACTGCACTTTAGGGGTCATCTCGTCGTGTTTCTCACGGTACAGCTCGCTGTCCTCTACCGCATCTGAAATTGTTGGAAGTAATGATATGAAGATACATTTTGGAGGTACATTTTATGTATATCGATGAATGGCAGTCCGAAATATTTGGAATGTCTAAACAAGTGACGCTTACCGGCGAGTTTATTGTAAATCTTCTGGGCGGCTGAAAGAGAGACGACAGATTTCTGCCAGTTTCCCTGTTCGAACAGCAGAACCCCTGTCATGTAGTGGTGATAAGCTTTAGCTTCTAGCTGTGTAGTTGTATCACATTTTAGAGAGACGCAGTTAGATGCCAACTCTGCTGCGTAGAACACTGCTTTCTTCAGTTTAGCTATCAGGTGAACCTGAATCAGAATTTTGTAAATATTCAGATTGTTATCGAAGATAAACCGTGTTTAGTGACAAACAACAAAACTGTTCAGAAAGCAACTAATTTTGTAACTAACTTTGTAACTAATTTTGTAACTGATTTTGTAACTAATTTTGTAACTAATTTTGTAACTTATTTTGTAACTAATTTTGTAACTAATTTTGTAACTAATTTTGTAACTAATTTTCTATCTAATTTTCTATCTAATTTTGTAACTAATTTTGTAACTAATTTTGTAACTAATTTTGTAACTAATTTTCTATCTAATTTTGTAAGTTCTAATTTGGTGACTAATTAAAAAGTATAATTGTTCCGCACCTGTTTCCTAGACTCAGTGTTAGCGAACTGTTTGAGATCCATAGCGTAAGCCCATGCTCTCTCGGCCTGCAGGAGTATGATCTGCATGTACCTGATATCCTTTACAAATAGATCAGGCGTTATCTTCTTGTTAGTGAACTTCTTACCGCCGTGCAGAAATTTCAGTCCTGCAAATGAAGTTATCGTTAAACATGTATTTGGGTGGAGAGGTTTATCTGATTTAAATTGATTTTAAGCGTCGACATTTAAAATGAGTGTAAAAATTAACTTTTGCGAAAATTAACAAAAATTAAGTTAAATGAGGTACCTTTGTAAAGACGATGAAGTCTGCGGCTGCAGTACTGTCTATATCTTTGGTAATCATCGTGTTTCAGACCGTGTAGATTCTGATATTCTTTTATTTCCTTCAGCACTGTCAAAATTAATTAATAAGTATATATTCAAATAACCAAATTAATTAATAAGTATATCGTTAAATAACCAAATTAATTAATAAGTAGACCTTTAAATGACCAAACCAGAGATCAACAAACAGTGACATGAACCGGAATGAACTGAAATGAACTGAAATGAGGTATTCATATATCCATTATCCCGCTCATGTGATTAACTAACAACACAAGAAAGGTGGTTAAGGGGGGGGGGGGGGGGGGTTTAACCATGTCAGAGCATGTTTAACAGTTAAAACAAAAGCTAACGAAAAAGCGTAAAATTATTGAAAACTGGCTCTTAATTGATGTAAGTGAAGGAGATGAAGGTGGAATATTATTTAATGTGAAGTTTACATACGACTGAGAGCGAAGGGACAGACAAGTTCCTCAGATTTGTCAGCAGCATCCTCTAGTTGTATATCTTCTATCTTAACATCTGATAAATTATCATTTTCTGCTACCATCCTACAAACGTATACAAATTAGTATGCTTAAGGGGGGGGGGGGGGGGGGGGACAATGGATATTTTTTTGTGAAACTTGATTTCGAGATAGCAGTTGACCAACAAACTAGGACCAGTGACCGAACTTTTGAGGGGGTCCCGGACCCCAACCGCCAAACTGTGCCCGCGGGGCAGCCACGCCCATATTTGGTTCAAATTAGGCCCAATTTAGCCAAATACCCTGAGCATGCCCAAAACCCAGATTTTAGGTGCTCTACTTGTAGCTAGTGGTCTCCTGAACTCGTATATGAAATTTCATCAAGATTGGACAAAAAATGACTGAGTTATGGGCCAAAAACCATATGCCCATATTTGGGCATACGCACCAAATTTGGTAGATTTCGTCCCATAAATTGGGCAAATATCAATATTTTTGATTGAAACTTACTTTATAAGAAAGGTAAGCCTAAACTACAAAATTCTCCCGGAAAAATTCAGAATTTGGCCGCCAAATATTTTTTGAGGCCTAAATCAAAAATTCGTTCTCAAAATAAGGTGGAAATGCGACTTCGAGTCGATTCCGAAAATTTCATGGAAAAATATTGAAAACTGATTGAGTTGTTACAATTTTAATGCGATCAATTCCGCGAATATCGCGAACCAAGATACAGGCAATTTAGTTCATTTTTTGTGGTCTTTTCGCCTTAGTATCCACATTTAAACAGATATAAAGCTATGACTTACAGAGAATATGTAGTTTGGGCTTACCTTTCTTATAAAGTAAGTTTCATTCAAAAATATTGATATTTGCTCAATTTATGGGACGAAATTTACCAAATTTGGTGGGTATGCCCAAATATGGGCATATGGGTTTGGCCCATAACTCAGTCATTTTTTGTCCAATCTTGATGAAATTTCATATACGAGTTCAGGAGACCACTAGCTACAAGTAGAGCACCTAAAATTTGGGTTTTGGGCATGTTGAGGGTATTTGGCTAAATTGGGCCTAATTTGGACCAAATATGGGCGTGGCTGCCCCGCGGGCACCGTTTGGCGGTTGGGGTCCGGGACCCCCTCAAAAGTTCGGTCACTGGTCCTAGTTTGTTGGTCAACTACTATCTCGAAATCAAGTTTCACAAAAAAATATCCATTGTCCCCCCCCCCCCCCCCCTTAATAAGTTATTAAAATTCTGCGCTAAACATTTTTCATGGTGATCGCAATGGTTCGTGTGCAGAAGATAAGTTATCAATTTGAACGAGACAATAATAATGTTTCCTGATGCCATGATCAATAAAATCATGATAGTAATTTGGTATGTCCTAAAAAATGTTGAGATGATGATTGTATTGAGAAATTATGCTTTGATGGAAAAATCGATTTAATAAATCAAAAAACGATTCAACACATCTAAAGGAATAGATATTTTTAAAAGATTTGTAAATGGGGCTCGAATTAAAAAATACTATCTAAAATAACTGAATTGATAAATTAATCATTTGGGCTTTGCAGAAGTTTTCTTTCTCACAATTTTAACTTTATTATCAGGATGATTATTTGTCCATGGCCCTAACGAATCATTACTATAAAAGTCCATAGGATAATTCTCCTGCCACTTAACATTGTTGAGCGCGACAGAAGCTTCATACGGAGATAAAAGAGGAACAGGGAAAGCGTAGCCCCAGTCAATAGACAACCTAGGACAGGCCACCTGGACCCACGCTCCCACCTCAGCCATAAGACCCAGTCTCTCCGGGAATATCTCTGACATTAACAACACTACAAAACTTTTACCCGCGGAAGAGATCTGCTTTTGGATGTTTGATAAGATAGCTGGGTTCCCCTGGCGACCCAACGTCCCCAAGATAAGCCCCCATTTTTCTGCCTTCTTCGCTTTTTCTATCTCCTCAAACCGTATTCTCTTCATCTTGACATGATCATAGTACTCCTGAGTTAGCAACTTGCTGTAAGGATCGTATCTGTAGGCTGGGAGCTCAGGGTTGGATATCATAATGGACTCCAGGTGGAATCTACCGTCTCCCAGGTACAGCAGGGATGTTAGTGAGGAATCCAGCGGAGGCGATGTGCAGCCTAAAACCTGACGTTTTTAAGAGTTGCTAGTTCAGAAATCGCAGATTAAAAAATCAAAATCGCTCCATGTACAAAAGTCAGGTTGAGGAAAATATTTTCGTCCTGGTAATAAACAAAACATGTGATAAGAATTGACGGGGAATCATAGAATGACTTACTTCCCCGGGAGAAAGGGGTTTAGATTGCGGTATCACCAGGTTCCATCCTTCAGTCTTTAAAACTTCCACAATACTGTAATATTAAGTTTACGTTTCGGGAACTTATTAATCAAAGTAGTATAAGGATGAAAATGAAGCAGTTAGAAATGCTAGAAAACTAATTCCTACTTTTAAGAACAGGCTGTAATACTTTCCTAACTTGTGGACTGTGGCTATATATTAAATTAAATATTAAGTTAACAAATCGGCTACATAAATCACAATAAGGGTAACTCTGTACCTGTGTAAAGTATTAAGAAACTGTATAGTGCCGACAACTGCCATCTTTTTGCTCTTATCAAAGTTGAGATTCAATGTGTCTATAAGATGTTTAGGATCAACTTGAATGTCCACAAACACGTAAAGCACTGTAATGCTTGTCCTGAGAAAATTGTTGGAAATTGAGAATTTAAGTTAGAGGAAATGTATTGAATTTCTTTAGAATCTGAATCTAATTAGTGCTACGATCTTCCGTGTAAACAAATATACAGATTCAACCATAATTAATGTAATCTAGAGATAGCAGTACAGCAGAGGACACTAGGTTGGAACTTTACTAAAAGGGTGAACAGTTTGATTATTATATCGTACGTGATCCGCCGTACTGTCCACCATTTTAGAAAGTTCTGCCCCAGAGTCAGCTGACTACACTGCATTGAAACATCACAAGAAGTTGTAGTAAATATTCTCAACATTAAGTAAGTACTTTAAATTAACTCACCTGTCAATAGGAACAAGACAGGAGTGTCCGTAATGAATCATGAAATCAGCACCCAAACTTCTAGCAGTAAAATCGTCCACACAGCAGGCCCCATAGGTCACATCTCCCATTAAAATCATCTCAGCATCTGTAAACGCTTCAATGATGTCCGCTATGACACACGAGTATAGGAGGAGTCCCTCAGGGAACTGTAGTGCTACACATTTAGCACCCGCACTACGGATACGCCAGATACTTTTGTGGATCTCGAAGTTGTAGTTTTGCGGCAGTTTCTGGGGGGAATTGTAATAGTTAATAGTGCTATGAATTGGTTGTCATCTTAAAATAAATCAGTTACCAATTTGAAAAAGGGTAGGTAAAAAGCCAGATTTCAATAATATCTGGCTTTTAACTACTAATTCCTAATCATTAGCAAACAAGATGATTCCTATGAAAAGTAACACATACCTACATTAATAGCCTCATTAATGAGAGGATCATTTAACTGCTCCTCAGGAATCTGCTGAACAACCCTCCTCTGGATTCGCTTGCGGGGTTCAGTAACCTTCACCACCACAGACCGTTCAGTCTCAGGTTGCTTCACCACCACAGACCGTTCAGTCTCAGGTTGCTTAATGTCTTTGTTGCAGGAACAGGACTGACATGACTCCTCGGCTGATGCTAACATTGCTAAAATAAGTGTCTGTTTTAATTACTTTTAGATAACTGGAGAAAGTTACTAAATAGTGATAAAATTGGAAGATTTAATTTGAAAGTTGGATGGTTTCATAGACGATGATGATTTTCATGACGTAATGAACTAATGAACACTCAAACACTCGATAGCAAGTCTCTTACAAAAATCAACTGAGTAAAAACAGTGAAGAATCATGTTGTAAAGTTGTAAACCCTGATCTCCGGAAACAATAAACAAGAGCAGCCCAGTCACATGATACAGTATTATGAAAAGTGGCATCATGATGATATAACAGTTTTTTTGGCCAAGAAGCACAAAAGTTCAAGTTAATTGTCCTCAGAAATCCATAAAATCAGTGACCTCGTCCAGCTCTCTTCTCTTTGCCTGTTGGTATGCCCACCTTTGCTCAGCTAATTCCGGAGTTGCCTTCCACTTTTCGTGGTAGATACGTTTACCACAAATGGGACACTTCTTTCCTCCTGGTCAGAGGAATGTGGTTAAAATGTTATAATTTTTTAAAATTTGGCAATTTAGTGATGTTATGATTATCGAGGCTCTTCCCTAACAGACAGCACTACAAAATGGAAATATGATAATTGAACTGAAGTTTGGGTCGGTTTTAGACGATGTATGATGGAAAAAGATGAACTAACCTTTGAAAGGTGGAGATTTCATATATCTATCTAAACACTTGTGATGAAATACATGGGAACAGTACACATACTCCACATAAACAGGTCCTCGAATATCTTGGGTTACCTGCAAGATGTAGACAAAATTTATTGAAATGTTGTGGGTCTAAGGTTGAATTCGATTCATAACAAAATTTTGTACACATTCGTGTATATCATGATCAAATCTAATTATTGAAACATAATCGGTTACTGAACAACAAAAACTGAGATTCAAGAAGAATACCAGATACATACATCTTCAGGATCGAGAGGAAACGTTTGATTGTCGCATATTGAACACTGAGCAATCGGGTAGAACTTGATACAATCTTTGATCAAGTATTCTGCGGCTGGTAAAATTGATGGCTTAACTTGAAATGGGGGCTCTCTGTAAACAAAACATGTTTTGAGTTTTCAGTGAAAATGTATAAAACTCATAAATATTGCACGTTTCTGAAAACATTGAAGAAGTGAGATGTAGCTTCTTGCAGTAAAACATCAAACATGCAGAGCATATTCTTTTGTAATGAATAATAATAGTTAACTAACCTAAGAACCTACCCTTTCTTTTCGATAGCTGGAGGAACCACACAGCGTCTAGAAAGTTCAACACCTTGTCTCACAAACATCGCTGCCAAATCAGCTGGGAAGTTTGTCGATTTACACTCCACCCTGTTAATATTTAGTTTAATTTAGTGACAGCTATGTCAGTAAAACTTACACATAGATTCAAGAACCCTTAAACATGTGTCTCTAACAGATATTCATTTATTGGTTTACGACAGCTCAATTTATTACCGAGACGATTTTTATAATTTGTGACTAACTTGGCATTGGTTTCAGGGTAGTCATCTGTGACAGAAAACTTTAGATTCATATAATATCCATTTTTATGAGCAGTCAGTTGAAAAGACCCAGCTTTCTGCTTTATCTTTATCTCGTCACCCTCTTCCAAAAGTTTACTCTTCACTGCATCAAGCTCATCTGCACACACAATAAACATGTTTTCATCTAAAAACTGCCGAGCAACTTTACATATCTGAATCACCTGAAATGAATATAATTGTACAACCTTTTCAAACATGAATGGGCAGCTCTTGATCCTACATTTCAATTCTTAAAATCTAAATGTTAAGCATAAAAGTAGATTATTATAGAAAAGATTTGGAGACATAAAATTCAAATCCATTTGTTCTGTTTCAATGAGAACAGCATATTGTGCTAAGAACCCGTACTGTTTCGTTTTTACCTGATATTGTCCTTTTAATTTTTTGGCTTCTTTCTCAGCAATATTTTCAATCAATTTCATCACTCTTTCTGGGAGAGACTTGCTTTTGACCTCCACCATGAGACACGTGTGAGGGTATTCTTCAGGGAACATGATGAGCAGTCTCAGTTGTTTGTACTCTGTCTTCCTGTTAATTAAACATTAGTTTAATCTTTCCACAGACAACCTATAGCTATTGAGTCAATATTCAGTTATAGTTTATTGTATAATTATCATTAAGTCCATTCAAACACATCAGTAACCTCACCATATTTTAACTTGGACAGAATGTTGGCTGGTAGACAATATTTCGAGACCTTCAACACTGCCCTCAAGCTCCTTTCTTATCTTTGCAAGCTCTTCATCTAAGAAAGACATCACCAATGTGATAACAGTCCAGAGTGTTCAAACAGATCTATCCGATGTCAAAGTTCATGAATGGAATGTCACTACCTTTCATTCATCCTATCTGAGAAATTAAGTTAACTTCCAAATAATTGAATTAAAAAGCCACTCCACCAATGTTCATATCATTAAAGGTGAACAATTTTGGACATTTATTTAAACGGTTGTCTAAGACATTTGAAGGGGAAACACAACTCACTATACTGGCCCAAATTACAACTCTTAAAATTATTGGTTCAGTTAGCTCCACTGTTCCGAATTTTAACTGTGCAGCCAAGCCTAATGCAGAGCTGACATACCTGAACAGGAATTACTCAATTTCAGTAGAAAATTGAAAAAAACTCTTGCAAATGGGCCTGAACTCAGTTGCATGGATAGGGCGCGGGCAGACTCAAAACAGGGTTAGTGATTACTACCTCTGAATTAAATCTGATGTTGCCATTTCAGTCACCCACCGCTTGCTGTTTACATTGAAGTTGAAGACTTGCCAGGAACATACAAAACCTGGTTTAAATGCTGCGATGCGCTACTGTGCCGCGCCATGCACTCAATTATGCTTCTCGCTAGATCGGCGAGATGCGCTACTGGGCCTCGCCGAGCTGCAAAGAATTGACATCGTCAATTAATATAGTGGCGCCCTTAAAGGGTTGACATCGTCAATAAAATTAAAAACGCTGAAATATTTTTTTGATTATATCGATATTTTTTTGATTATATCGATTGGAAAAGGCAACATTACTCCACTCCAAAAGCCTAAGAAACCACTTGGTCCAGCAGCAAACATCAGACCTCTCACCCTCTCAAACTGCTCCAGAAAATTACTGTCAATGATTACCCTAAAACGTATCCAAGGCAAGCTAGATCAGTACACCGGTCCTACACAAAGTGCTTACAAGAGAGGTAGAAGTTGTGGCGATATAATTTGGTCTCAACGTATGCTAACCTCAGTGGTACTTAGAAAGCATTGGAGCTACCACAGAATGAGTATAGACATGTCAAGTGCCTTTGACACCATCAGCAGAGAAACAGTACTCAATGTTCTTGAAGATGCTGGCTGTACTAGTGATGAAATTAGGATGGTACGGCTCCTACTATCAAACACAGTGTTGAAAGTAAAAGTCAATAATACTGTATCAATTGAGTTCCAAAGCACAACTGGAGCATTTCAAGGAGATGCACTATCAGGTAATCTATTTACTGTTGTTGAAGCCGCTGCACTTATTCACCTCAGATCTGTACTCTCCCAAGTATCATCAACACCTTACCCAGTGAATCATCCAATCCCTAATCCTCCTATCTCAGAAGAATTCATGCCACTCGAAACAGGATACTCTGATGATATTGACTTTAATAACACTGAACTTGCTCCACTCAAAGAAATGCTTCCTATCGCTAAAGATATATTCCAGCAGTGGGACCTTCATATCAATTCTTCCAAGACTGAATTTGTCCATTTTTATTTAGCAGATCCTAAACCCACTGTTAAACGCAAGGTGATTGTTAGAAAAGTGTATAGAGGTGATTAAGAGTGGCGCTCTAACAAAACTTTAGGATCGTTGATGTGCACTGTTAAGGATATCAAGAATCGAATATTCCTTGGTAATGTTGCCTTTAGTAAATTTCAGAAAGTTTGGATGAAGAGCAAGATTTCAGTCCGAAGGAAGATCAAAATCTACGAGGCACAAGTAGTCTCTATTCTACTCTACAACTGCAACTCCTGGGCTGCACCACTAGCTTCGTTGAATGAACTTGATATTGCTCATCGCAAACACCTCCGAAGAATCCTCAACATCAGATGGCCAACTGGGGTTATTTCTAATGAGGCACTCTATGCTCGTTGTTATGTCTGTGAGAGTCTCTAAGTTTCGATGGAGAATGTTAGGACATATCTTAAGAGGACAGGAAGACTCACCAGCATACACCTCTATGTTATTTGCTATAAATTCTGATATTTTTATGGAAGGGAGACGGGTAGACCATGTTTAAACTTATTAGATGTTATTAGAAAAGACTTGACTAGTAGAAATCTTGATATTAGACTTAAGAATTTGACTGATTTCGAAGACTTTAGATTTTTAGCTTTAGATAGGGAGGAGTGGAAGAAGTTAGAAGATGGTTGATGTTTTTGTTTTCTTTTTTATGCGTTTTGATATCTATAAGGTGCCTAGGATGCTCTTTTAAAGAGATATTTCGTACTTTGAAAGATTTTCTACTATATCGATTTATATATTAAAACAATTTTATTTGAAGATCTCCAGCTTCTGTTCAGTGTTTATAAACAAATAAATTAATAACATTGCAGAATGATGCAAATGCAGACAATCCTAAACCATTCACATCAAAGAGAATACATGAAAACATAGTTAGTATTCAAATTACAGATCAAAAAGATGACTAAATAGGGTGAAAAGGAGTTTCGAAATGCAACAATAATACTAAAAAACAACCTAGGTATTTTTGTGAAAATATGACAGTATTTGCTTTAGCGCTCGATTTTCATACCACGGTGTAAATTTTCGAAAATATGCGCGGCGCACCTAAAATTTTGCTTCCATTAAAAATAAATTTTTTGGTCAAAATTAAACTATATTTGATATATTTAAATTAGTTGTTATTACAAGATATATGTTTAAAAATTTCCAAAATATAGAGTATAAGTACCAAAAAAAAACAATGCGCGCAAAAAGTCAAAATTGTTACCACTTTTTTGGAACTTTACCCGTAAAAAATAAAGGGATTTGTTTTGTTTTTACACCATCTTATGCGGCTTTGTTTTCGCTTTCTCCATGCAAATTTTGCTGACATGCCAACAAACTTAATTTGCTCGAATATCAAGAAACATTGTTTTTTGGCCTATTTTTGCCTTAAAATCGGGTTTTTGCAATTTTAATCAGGGAAAATCAGTCCAATCATCTCGAAACCACTTTTAATCGATTCTATGGTCAAAAATACGTCTACTAAGGTGTATCTGGGTGCTGGGGTCCCTGGCCTAGCGTATCGAGCAGAAAATGCCCGTAAGAGTTTCTAGTTCTATACTTTATGAATTAAAATAAAAAGGCGCCAACTATCTCGACGGATTGACATCGTCAATCAATGTGAATTAAGTAAAACAAAATTTTTTAAGTAAAACAAAATTTAAATTTTATTGCCATTACAATGAATAATAATATCATAATAAATATAAGTAGACATCCGATAATAAACTTGTTACATCCAGTTGTGAACTACTAACCAAAAATAAAGCAAATACTTTAGATTCATATTGTTTTATTTATTACAACTCGATCCTTACAATCAAAGGATGACATTGTTAATAAATCTTCAGTGAGTTATATAAGTCGGAAATTATAAATCAGCCCAAATGTGGCTGAACCCCCCCCCCCCCCCCCACGTGTCCACTGCTCCTGCAAATTACTTAATCAATATGTTTAAATATGCCAAATTGTTGTTTTCTTGAGTAATAGGATAATGTTTTTGAGAAAGTTGGCCCTAAATTATGGAATGAGCATACCCTTTATATTGTAATTTAGTGTACCAAGTCTTTACGATTTTTGCATGGTTTGGAACCTAAATGTGGATTGCTTTTCAGGTTTTATTGAATCCTGACTTGTTTTCGTATCACAGTAATGAAGAGAAACATAACGATTATCTTTTGGTTATATGTGGCAAAGAAGCGTTTTATAAATCTTTATTCCAGTTTTTAAAATAGGATAATGTTTTTGATAAATTTAAATAAAATATTGTATTTGATAAATAATTGATGTTGGTGGGGAAATATTTATATATATTTTTGCGATGATATTTTGTAGACATGTGTGATGATGTGATGTCATACACTTTACTTTACTTTTACTTAACCATGTTTCACAGTAATTTACCGCTGTATGACGGACCCATGCTACTGTAAGCACGAGAGCAGAGAGGGCTTTGGTTAGAGCAAATGATCATCACCTGTATGAAAGTTTGTTGCCTGCGTTACATGTCTGAATTTGTTTGTCTGTGAGAGCCAAATATGGTATAAATGAATGAGGTAGACGCCTTGGGAATTTTTCACTCTTAATGTAATTATTCTTAATCTAATCTAATCTCTCAATTTACCCCATCATAAGCGACTTCTGCAAACATCTTTTACCCATTATATTTCCTCACTCTTTTCTTTACCCATAGGCTTCAGCTTTTTAAATATACCTGTTCCAATGATAGCTGCAAGATAGCGGAAGATGTTAGAATGTTGATTTTACAGAATCACCACAGCTAATTATCCTAACCCCTGAGCTATTTTTATGACTTTTGATTAGTTACTTGAATTGAAGCGTATGTTATTGCCCACGTTAAGGGGCTTGTTAATATTTATTAAATTATTAACTATTTTAGATTTAATAATAATAAATTGAATTGAAGAGTTGTGAAATTAAAATTATATTTGGCCAACACTAGCTAAATAAATTGTATTTAACACAGTCTACAGTTTACCTAATACGCTTTTACCAAATTTAAGATATATCTAGCTGTAGCTTCGAAGCGAAGACATTTCGTTGAAGTTCAATTTCATTATATATCTCTAATATATTTTTTTGACCAAAAATACATTGATTAAAACTCCAAACGCGTTCAGCATCTTAACTTTTAATTAGACAATGCTTGTTTCCATAGCTTTCATTACGCCATACTTTTATTTTAAACCATTAAAGCGACTAATCATATTATCACAAAGGTAGCATGCTACTCTTTCTTCTTTCAATCCTATATTGGAAAGCAACATGTGAGGTTTTTAGCTCTTATGAGGACCTTAGAAACATCAATAAGATAGAGGATCATTTGGTGACATTGCTCTCTGAATACATTCACAATGAAAGAGAACGACTCGACACTTTGGAAAGGTTTAATCAGTATGTTGAGAATGGTAAAGACTACACGGATCCTGGTGACAATTACATCAGCTATCCTACCAATCAGTTTAATGTAATACACAGATTCGTTGCAGATTGGAATAACCTAGAAGACTGGACAAAGAGTAGAAACGAAGACCTATCTTCAGCATTTAGAACATACAAACAATTCTTTCCTAGGCAGGAGGATGTCGATGGAGCAATAAAGGCTATACACCGTCTTCAGGATATTTACAAAATTAAAGCAAGTCACTTCTCTAGAGGGGACCCTTTAGTTCCTGAAGAGGGTTCTGGCAGGGGAGAACCTTTCAACGAACAAGCTCTTCTGTTATTTGTAAAAACTGCTTATGAAAGTGAACAGTGGCTTAAGTGTGCAGGTTGGGCACAGCAAGCATATTACCAAATACAAACCCTTAAGAAATATGATCCCCCCACTTCAACAATATGGTTTGAAATTGCAGACTATTTCTCATATTGTCTATACAAGGCTGGAGAAATACAGCATGCCATCGAGGTAACAGCTGAAATTTTAGTTCACTACCCTCATAACAAACGCATTTTGGGAAACTTGGAACACTTTAATATCATCAGGAAAGAAAGACATGTTAAAGATAAATCTAAAAGCAAGAGAAGTGTTATTTCTGAACCTTTAGTGAATCTTGGTGAAGTAAAAGAAGAGGAAGTGAATGTGACATTTATTCCTAAATTATATCCTGGAGCAGACGAGACAGTCTTGACATGGGAGGATATTGAGAATGACATACAGGACAAATTCAACACAAATCGAGTAAGAAGGATGAAGGTATATAGAAAAATGTGTAAAGAAAATCCACCTCTTACTCCAAAGATGAAGAAACAGGTAGACAGACTCACATGTTATTACAAGCAGAATACACCTAGGAGCTATTTAAAACCAATTAAGGTTGAAGTTGCATGGCCGTCTCCCCGTATTTTACTATTTCATGACATTATTAATGATGAAGAATCAGACATCCTGATAGGCCTTGCTCAACCCCTCCTGCGACGAGCTACTGTCCATAACAAGAGTACAGGAAAATTAGAAAGTGCTGAGTACAGAGTGAGTAAGACAGCTTGGTTATACGATAACTTAGCTGAAGACAAGGAACAGATTGTTCGCAGGGTTAATCGCAGAATGGAAGATGCAACTGAACTGAGTCATGAGTATGCTGAAGATCAGCAGGTCAATAACTATGGTATGGGGGGTCAATATGAACCACACTACGATATGAATACTCTCTACGATCAGAAAGTTCAAAAGCGTAGACCAACTGTGTCAGGTAATCGCATAGCCACCATGTTGGTGTACTTACGTGAACCAGATGCAGGAGGTGCTACAATATTTACAGACAGTGGTGCCAGGTTAGTTGCTAAAAAGAATTCAGCAGCATTTTGGTACAATATTTTACCAAACGGTGATCCAGACCTGATCACCCGGCATGCTGGTTGTCCTGTTTTAGCCGGTACGAAGTGGGTCATGAACAAGTGGTTCCACCATAACGATCAGATCTTCACTCGCCCTTGTGATGTACAGCAATTCAAACGAGAAAAAGAATCAAAGCTATACAACGGGAAGTATACTATTTGATTAATTTGTATGGAAATCTTACGGAAAACAGAAAATAGTGTTTAAGTTTTTGAATGTATAGTTGCAAGCTGTAGTACTAGGTCGATTGTAAATATCAGACAAAGGCCAAAGCATGTTGTTATGATAATAAAATATTAAATATTGAAGCAGTGCAGCACTTATTTTGGTGATCATTTGTACTCAGTTGTTACAATACGTAATTGTTAAAATACAGCCTTTGCTACCCAAATAGCACATTTCATTCTATTTCAGATTGAAATACCGTTTATTTATTTTTATTTAAAGATGCAATGGAGATATTTTCTAATGTTATTTGATGTTCCACTGTGTTTGATATTGATATGGTAATTGGTACACTACACTTAACCTAAATAAAAAATCTGTTAATAAAGTGAGACAGGATAATGGTTGAGCGACTTCTAAGTTCTAAGAGTATCGAGATGCAAATTTTGCCATTTGTATTGATTGTTTTAATTTAATAAATAAGTTGGTTCACTGGGAGCCAGAAACATAAAGTTACACAACAATTGCATGTTAAATATCGAATTAAATTATTTTCTTAATTATTTTTTCACAATATCTAACGATATTTGAAGCTACAATGTATAGATGGATTAACCTTAATGATCATGATTAAATTTGACCCGGGGACCTTGGCCTGATAGGTGCATGTTTTAGATTTATAAATTATTCTTTTGATTAGCGTATGTTATAATATTGGGATTAGAATTACAATTTTGTTTTATCAATCTTTTTTGAATTATTAGCTTTTTAGGGTTTTTAGAATGTTTTGCTGTCTAACAGCTATTTCAATTTTGAAAATAATTATTAATCTGTATATAAATATTTTTCTTTTTCATTAAAATCGATCCTGAAGGGTTTGACAGTATAGCTTATCTTTTAACCAATAAATTCATGAACTTGTTTTTTTGTTAGTTTGTTGGTTTTCAGTATTTAACCCTTTAATTTCATATCGTTCCTGCATATTGTTGGTCTTTTGATAAAAATAGATGCTTTTAGTTTTTCAAGATTATAAATTATCAATCTCTTATTTCACTGTTTATCTTGTTTAATTAAAGAAGGAAAGGATAAATTTCAATGCAATCAAGTTTCTACAAAATTTTCATCCTCTCATTTATGAATTATTTTATTTTTCTGTTTACACAGATATATACTCCCCATCTAACAGCTCTACCTCTAAACCTAGAATGTTACTCCTGTGGCTAAGTCTTGTAGCAGGAGTTCAGGGGTTGATCCCTGTAGATAATGATGTTGAGCCTGAGTATGCGGTCGCTACTGATGATGACGAGTCCACACCTAGTGATTACTTTGTTATCTTCACTGTTGCCACTGAGGAAAATGATCCCTTCCAGAGATATGTTAGATCTCTGAAAATCTTTGACATGGACCAACATCTACAGGTACAGACACTAGGTTATATTATGCAGAGGATTCAGCATTATCTAGTTCTTTGTCAGTTTCCATCTTTAACCAGTGGTTAACTTTTTCAGCCAGAGCAATATGAATATAATCGGATTTAACCCCCTGAAACATTTCAGACGTTAGGAATGAACGAGAAGTGGCTGGGAGGAGACATGAATTACCCAGGAGGAGGATTTAAAGTTAACCTGCTCAAGAAAGCCATGGAGCAGTACAAAGAAGAGGATGACATGATTGTGATGTTTACTGACAGTTACGATGTTATCTTCCTGGCTGACAGAGAGGAAATTGTGGACAATTTTAAATCAACTGGTGCCAACTTCTTGATAAGTAAATAACACGTAGTTTAGAACTAGGTCGAATGCTCTTTACAAATATTTCTCAATTCCAATACGCAGATGAGGGACATTGCTTCTAACAATTTCTTCGTTTCCAAAGTATCAACAATAATAAAGAATGTTAGTTGTAAGAAAGTAATGACTGTGGTTTCCAAAGTATCAACAATAATAAAGAATGTAAGTTGTAAGTATCAACAATAATAAAGAATGTAAGTTGTAAGTTTCCAAAGTATCAACAATAATAAAGAATGTAAGTAAGAATTCCTTAGAAACTGTTCTTGTTGTCAGGTGCTGAGAACTATATCTGGCCGGACCAGAGTCTTGAGAGTCAGTACCCCGATATAAAGGGTAAGAAATACCTCTGTTCTGGTATGATGATGGGCTATGCTACAACCTTCTGGGCTATCTTGAACTACAAGGTAATCACTGTGGTTTCATTTGTTTGGTTTTCTACCAGTTGTACGAACATCTTGTAATGTTTAGTTGAGTTAACAATTTGTTTGCATGCCTGTTAACTGTTAAATTCAGTTTTGCTTCACAAGAACCCATCACTGACAGGAGATCGAGAACACTTTTGATGACCAGCTCTACTACACCCACGTCTACCTTGATCCTAACTTCCGGGAAAAACACAAGATACAACTGGATGGAACTAGCAAGATATTCCACAATCTTCACGGTGCAGAGAGGGAGATAGATTTCGGATTTGGGTCCAAGAGAGTGACCAACTGGGAACAGGGCACCCAACCGCAGGTCCTGCATGGAAATGGCCCGACTAAACTTTCCCTGAACAGATTTGGGAATTATCATCCCAAAGTGTTTGATCCAACGGAGGGGTTCAAGGGAAAGTGTATGGTTTGTGATGAAAAAGAAGGTACTATCAATGTTGAAGACACTGAAAACCTGCCAACGATTCTTACAACTATGTTTATCACAGGTAATGATCTTAATCTTTAACCCCACCCCCCAATGTATGATATTGTAGATAGTAACCCCCGACAAACCCACTACAAAGTTGTAAAAATTTCTTGAATATTGGATTGAATTATACAGTTTTTTTATGTTTTAAATAACTTCAAGTGCTTTTATCTTAGATATAAGGCGCTAAATTGCTTACTATTTCAGAACGGACTCCGTTCATTGATTACTTCGTCAACAAGACCTTCACACAAAACTACCCACCTGAGAAATGGCACGTTAGGATTTACAACAGAGTCTGGGGACACGCCGATCATATTCAGGAACTTGTAAATTATCACGTAACAAACGGGGACAAGAAGTTTGCCAGTTTCGAGTTAAAGCAGCCTAAGGTAATGATTCATCCTTCTTACAAACACACATTCCTATGTTGCTTTGCAATTTATTGGATATTGGCTATATTGCTATAACCTTTTACCTTATATTTCAAGGTGCAAGCACAGCATGTTGAATTAGCCCTCTATCGTGCTCCTCTGATCCATCTCTTTAATAATCACGTGATATCATGTTTTATCCCAGGAGACGATCAGTAAGAAAATATCAGACCTTTACCAAGAAGGAATGTCGACATGTGCCGAGCTGGAATGTGGTTTTTACTTTGTAATGGACAGCGTCATAACGCTGACTGACGACAACGTCTTGAAGGATCTTATTCATTGGAACAAGAGTGTCATTACAACTCAGCTCACCCAACCAGGCCAGGTACTGAGTGTAAATATTTAGTAGAGCCAAACTGTTACACTTCAAAACATTAGCTTATTATGTACCTTACTCGGGATTATTATGACCGGGATAAAGTGGCGGGTTTAGGGTAATTTCGCCATATTTTTCCCGAACCACATTTTCACCGGTCGTTAATAAACCCGCCGACTCAGCTTTAAGGGTTCCCAAGGGGTATGGGTGCTCATATTTTAATCGTTGTCTTATATTCACTAAAGAAGACTATTGGGACACTTGTTGTAGGTTTTTCGACTTCATTTGGCTAAAATTTCAAAAAATTCACCTTTTTGCCCAATTCTTGTTATATATCCTTATTGTCAAAGTTGATTTAAATAGGCCAATTTTTAATTTCTTAGGTATTGACTATCTCTACATAATGAAATAGGACTCAAAGTAAAAGTAACAGTTAAATTAAAACTTGAATCAATTAAAACTGTCAATAACATGAATCAGTTTCATCACTCATTTATTCATAATTCTGAACAATGTGAACGATGCATTCTTTCGAAGAAAATTATTTTCCATCTAGTTTGATTAACCACGAGTCATTATTTCTGTCTACTTTCAACAATTACTGATAATTCGACTTGTTTCACAAGTTTTAGCAATGCGAAAATTTCTAAACTTGCTTATCTCTAATAAGGAAATTTACATCTGAGACAAAATTTTTGAATCTAAAATTGAAAGGTTGGACACCGGTAAAATGGCGACCGGGAAAATGTGGTGGGTTTTGAGCAATTTCGCCATATTTTTCCCGACCCATATTTTAACCGGTCGTTAATAAACCCGTCGTAATAATCCCGAGTAAGGTAGTAGTAAATACTAAGGTAATGGGATATTTAATAATTAGCATATTATACTAGGACTGCTCTAACGTTATCTCATGATTTATACTCGTACTTTTTTTTAATGTAATGACAACTAGTCCACCAGAATGTAAAATAACTGTACGATCGTCTCAGCCTACAAGTCAACTATAGCCTAGTACTATACAAGTCAAATCTTCAATCATTATAGTATGTCTTTATAATTTTGTAGGTATACATTATCACGTGACACATTACACACAAAACCACAGCGTAATCGTCTGATCTTAGCTATTATACAGGGTGAGTTGAAAATAGTGTGTAGAATTTAAATGGCTCTAATTTTTTTGACAAATGAAATTTCCACTTAATTTTTGCATATTTAGGTAATGAAAATATATAAATATTATAATAATACAATAAAAATACTTAATAATTATTAGAGTTAGAATCAAATGAGAGGCAAGAATGAAATTTGTAACGTTTATGAACTGATAGCAATTCACCTTTTTCAACTCACCCTGTATATTTCAGTACTGGAGTAATTTCTGGGGAGACGTGAGCAAAGACGGATTTTACAAACGATCTACTGATTACTTTAATATGGTTAAACGAGAGAGGCTTGGGTTGTGGAATGTGGCGTTTGTCAATCACTTGGTCGCTATCCGTGGAGATGTTATTAAGGATAAGTAAGTTAATCACAGTTGTGGTTTCTACTTTAAACTACTTCTCATTTATATTTAACCCGTTTTTGTTTATTATTATTCGGACATTACATTCGGTATAAATTACTTTAAAAAGCAATTTGTACCGAATAATAAATACGGTATTAAGTACTCTTCGAAAAGAATTAAATAAATTTCTCTCCAGGAAAGTGAGCTACGTAAACACAAAATATGACGACAGTAATTATGATGTAGGATTTAACTCGAATGCCAGGAAAAACAACGTCTTCCTCTACATGGTTAACCTCAAGGAACACGGACATCTCAAGGTTTATAATTTCAGACTTCTTATCTTAAAAATATCCTTCCTTCCATCCTTCCATCCTTCCATCCTTCCATCCTTCCATCCTTCCATCCTTCCATCCTTCCATCCTTCCATCCTTCCATCCTTCCATCCTTCCATCCTTCCATCCTTCCATCCATCCTTCCATCCTTTTCTTCCGTCAAACCTAGTTTCTGTCATGCTGTAATGACTCTAGCAGGAAAATGTCTCACCTAATCTTAATCCCGCGTGTAGACTACCACAGTACCACATACCATTATGTAATCTTACTGCAAGGTTTCTCTAATTGGTATATCATGTGGGGTGGTGTGAGACCTGTGAGTAGTAGAGATTATTTAAATACCACAGCAGCAATACGACAGGTCTTTTGTGTATATTGTCTGTAATAATGTGTAAGCCTAGTGGATAAAAGGAAAACAGAACTTACTTGATACCTTTCGGTATCTCTGTTAAACATATAGAATATCTGATGGTTTAGTTAAATTGAATTGTTCGTCATCTGATCGGGCAATAAGTAATTTCTTAACCAGAAAATAAGCCCAATTCAATTACGTCTTACACTCGAGACTACGGTAATTGATAGGGATCAAGTTTAACCTGGATCTTATATTCCTTTTAGAGTTTAAATTTTTAGAGTGAACAAATAATAACTTAAATTATTCCCCTCAGCGAATGGAGAACTACACTTCACATCGTGTTCACAACGACTTGTGGCAGATCTTCACCAACACCCTGGACTGGAAACTAAACTACATCCACCCCGACTTCGATAAATACCTTACCAAAACGAGACCTGAGTTCCCGCAACCCTGCCCTGACGTGTACCACTTCCCTCTTCTATCCAGTCAGTGGAATTTGTTATTGTTTGTGGAATTTAATGTAAACAAATGTTGTGGATATTTTCGTGTTTCTCGGGTGTATTGGTCACGTGACAAATCCAAATACACTGTATAAGGATTGGTCACGTGACAGCCCCAAGCCAATAAGTGAGCTGTACCTGTGTGCCGGTGGTCAAGCAATTTGTAATTAGGTGTGCTGCAGCACTGCTGCTGTCAAAACAAAATGCGTGTTTTGTTTTGACTACAAGTAGCAATGTACTTTCAATACATTCCAACATATTGAGAATTTTAAACATGAAATTACTCACCAAGTAAGTTTTCTAAAATGCCCTCTAGCTGTGATGTACATTGTACATTGTACATTGTACATTGTACATTGTACAACCTCTCACAATTCCCTCTTTCAGCCAAGTTCTCCTGGCACATAATCCACGAACTTGAGAGCATGCCTGGAGACATATTTGCTGGATCTGGTAAAACTGATGATAAGAGACTGCAGGGAGGGTACGAGAATGTTCCTACTGTCGACGTTCATTTTACTCAAATAAACTTCCAGGTTGGGGCTTATTTAATTGGTTAATGAAGTCGCTCATTAATCATTAAATTATCTTTTTGTAAATATTTCACTTTGGGAATTTGGACACAACACCTGTTAGCATCCAGTTGTCGGCTTTTTAACCGGTTACAAAGGTTTAAAAGGTGTTATTGTAATTATCATGCTTACAATAACATGATCACTCTGCCTCGCCCCCATCATTTAAGTCTGAACTTCTCAATCGAGCGGTAGATAAAACTAATATTTCAGCAAGAGTGGATGAAACTGCTGCGAGACTATGTAGCTCCCATTCAGCGTCTAGTATTTGAAGGTTACTCCTTCCACGGTAACGCACTGCTAAGTTTTGTGGTTAAGTACCACGAAGAAGGCCAGAGAGAGCTGCGTCCCCACCATGACCACTCCACTTTTACCACCAACACTGCTCTCAACAGACAGGGTATTGATTATCAGGTGTGTGTTTACTTTTACCACCAACACTGCTCTCAACAGACAGGGTATTGATTATCAGGTGTGTGTTTACTTTTACCACCAACACTGCTCTCAACAGACAGGGTATTGATTATCAGGTGTGTGTTTACTTTTACCACCAACACTGCTCTCAACAGACAGGGTATTGATTATCAGGTGTGTGTTTACTTTTACCACCAACACTGCTCTCAACAGACAGGGTATTGATTATCAGGTGTGTGTTTACTCCACCTTTACCACCAACACTGCTCTCAACAGACAGGGTATTGATTATCAGGTGTGTGTTTCGGATTTGTTATATTCTGGTTATTTTTTCCAATTGTCCTTGTCACGGTTATAAACTGTGAAAGGTGTCGTAGCGGTTAAAGATTTGTAAGTAATTTACAGTTTACAGGTTATGAGTGCCACTATTGTATGTTATCACTCGTTGCTGAGATACACTATCGTATGAAACCAACAAAGTTCCAGTAATATAATAGTTGTGTAGGTGTGATCAGATATTTTAGTAATTGTACTAATGGTTAACTACTTGTTAATGGAGTGGAAGTTACGTTGGTGTGAAACGGTAACATATTTAACTAAGTAAGCAAACATACCAACTTTATTATTTCAGCACTCTCTAACATACCAACTTTAATATTTCAGCACTCTCTAACATATCTCGTATTTCAGGGTGGTGGCAGCTATTTTATCAGACAGAACTGTCTCGTCAGAGATGTTGATGTAAGTGTAATAACTAGTGATTTTAATTTGCAGTGTATTGACTGAGTCACAAATTGTTGGAATTTTTAGAAACACTCTCAAGGCTTCAAGGGTCATGTTTTATGCATCAAGATTCAAGGTATTCAAGGTATTCAAGGGTGAGCCAAAACTAGCCTTATTAGTTAATTATCCAATTAGTAATTTGCAATTGTTCCTCAGATTGGTTGGACTCTGATGCATCCCGGAAGATTAACCCATTATCATGAAGGAAAGCCAATTACTCAAGGTACACGGTATATCTTAGTTAGCTTTAACGACCCCTAAACAATCACGGAATTACTTTAGCAGATTTACTGATGATTGAATTGAAACAGAACTTAACAACTTAGATAATGATATCTCTCTGCCAAATATTTGATACAGTCATGAATTAGGGTTTTTTTAATTTAATTGCACAGTGTTAATTGTTATATGAAATCGGACCAAAAGGGATTCATTAAGATATTGTTTTTTCCGAATTATGCTACTTTTAATCTAGGGTATTTTATTTAAGCCGTATGGATTACGAAATATATTTTGATACAATTTATATGTTTTATTTTTAAATTATGATTAATCATCTTAAATACATTTCATAATAAGAGTTTTATAAAATGTCAATTTATAAATATTAAATTATTAAGATGATGCCAATCTTTTGTTATTAGTTCCTTTATACTTTTATATGCCGGTTTGACCTTATTTTTCACTTTAATAGAATCAAAACATTTAGAACGAAAAAATGTATGAGGGCCTACCATCAAAACTTTTTATTTTTATAACTTTACTTTCAAGAAGATTTTATACCTGCATTTATGATTTGTACATATTTTTTGTACAGTCTGAAATTGTTGTTTTACTGTGTCAGGCGGCAGTATTTTGAAAAACAAGGAAAAGCATTTTCCGTCCATTACATAGGTCAGTGTTATTTTATGTAGTATGTTCTAGAAGTATTTAATTGTTTACGCGTCGATATTTATAAATTCTAGCAACTTTACAGAAATTCTAGAATCACCATGAAATTTAGAAAGTTCTAACGATTCTGCAATGTTTCGTCCCTTTCCCGGGACGAAGGCATTTTCCTTCATAGGTTTATTTTATGTAATATGTTCTAGAAGTAGTATGTTCTAGAAGTATTTAACTGTTCATACGATAAAATTTAGAAAGTCTAGCGATTTAACGGAAATTCTGGAATCTCCACGAAATTGAGAAAACCTGCTTTTTCTAGAATGATTCGTCGCTTTTCCGGGGGCTGCACACAACTCTATTATAATAAGGTATAGGAGATAATTAAGTTACATTAGTTGAAGTCACTTGCTAATGTCGATGAGGGCATAATGTCTTCAAGACTCGAGTCATTTGTCACCTTGTATAAATATGATTTTAAACACAACTTGGTTAGTTGCAGGGTAATGCGTGATTCCAAAAGACGTGGCACTGTACACAGCCGCGTGGTGACGTGGCAATTTCTGGGTGACTGGTTAATGTTCGGCGGACTTGCGATGGTGCGTTTATGTAACGCGCCAAAGACATGCTCCAAATTATTGATAAAGCCGCGCGAACAACAGTTTATTATTTACAAAATTTTGCTCCGCGCTATCTTCAGCGTGGAAATTTGCTAGTAATTATTACATTGGCACATGTTATCACTTATCAGGCACATGTTCTTATCAGCGGAGAGGGCTGAACTTGTTGCCATCTCTGTTCGGCGGAATATGTTCATGAACATGATAGCCTGGGGTCCCCAGGTAAGTCGAATTTTTTAGTACGTGTCGAAATTGAGTCCAGGTAGTGCACTTTAGTTCGACAGAGTCGAACCTTAGGGTTTGTCGAACTACAGTACGTGTCGAACTAGAGTGCGTGTCGAACTTGAGTACGTGTACCTAAGGTTAAGGTGACTATTGCTCGATCTTTCGGTTTCAGCTTAACCCCCTAGGCCATGAGTAGAACCAAGAACCGAAGGATCAAAATATATGTTGCTTGTTGCAGGTTGCTCATATTAACTATAAAATATCAATTTTGATGGATAAGGAAGTGTTTATAGGTTCTGAAACCTAGTTAAATCGATTTTAGCTCAAGAACAGTCATCAAAATGAGTCGATTTCTCGGTTATTTTTAAGCTTTCGTTCAGAAAATAATTGGGGACCTTCAAACGGGGGTAACAAGAAGGAGTTACAAGCGTTCCATAAAACAAAATGTGCATCACCTATTTCCTCTGCTGAACAGGTACTTACCCTTAAAAGTGAACAAATGTGCATCAACTCCCCACGAGAATCCACGTCTATTGTGGAGTTACAGGGTAAAAAGGACCATATGATGTATCAGACTTTTTTTCACGTGGTTCCCGATTTTTATAGCAGACCTACCTTTCAGATATGTGACCACAGAATTCAATAAAAAACTGAAAATCTCAAAAAAGTAGAAAAGAGCCCAAAATATAACACGAACAGTGCTAAACGTTACAACTAGACAACTACAACCATTTGGCGTACCATTTGTATCTACGAGGCCGGGTGGCGGGTTTACTAATACTAGCTGCATACTTGAAGACACTACTTGTCACGGTTAATAGAGGTTGTGCTGTACGGGCCGCCGGGTCCCAACTCTTAATTTCGTGATTACCCAATTGTAGGAAGTTGCCGACTATTATATTTATTTACATTTTATTCAAGCTAAAGATAGAACTTCTTAATAAATAATTAAATAAAAATTTACTAATATATTATATAAATAATCATCATAATTTCTCTTCACATCATCATTAACATTTCAAAACAACAATAAAACTATCGTTTCACTGGTACCGTAATTCTGACTGAAATTAATTTTACGGTGCTAAAATAACTTCATTTCCTTCCTATTCACTAAAACTAGAAGGTCAATCCTTTCAATGATTTCGTTTTCATCAAAATTCAAGGAGTATCTCCGCCACATCGTTCTAAAATGGTAGCACCAGTGGAGTCTCTAGCCAGCTTTTACACTTGTAGCAGTAGGTGGTGGTGTACATCCACAGGCGCCCACTGGAGGACATCCGCAATTGATCTGGTGATCATAAGATTAGTATTTCTGGAGTATAATATATTTTTCAGAGATTTCCCTTTTTAAAACTTAAATATAATCTATTCATTGTTCACTCTTGTAGCAATATTATATTTTTAAAAGGAATTCTAATGTTAGCTCTTTACGACTTTAGAATGCAGCATTGGTCGTTATTATCGTAGAGCATGTTATAAGCCCAAAAATTGCCAAATACAGTTTCTGGAAAATCGGGAAAATCAGACATCCATACCCGGGCATTTGCATATTTGTCATGGTGGGGATTTAATAGCACTATTTGTAAAAACTATAAAATATGGTTTGTGCTACATACCGAATAAATCCTGTGGCCGGCTTGAAGGTTCTTAAAAGTGTACTCGTCCAGTTTGTCCAGGGTTGGTACCAGACAGGTTTTAGTCTTGTAATGATCAGCATATGAGGTGCCCGCGTAGAAGTCCCTTCCGAAACTTACTGTGGCGTCTGAAAGAAACAACCGTGTTATTAGGTGTACTGGTTGTAGATTTATATTCTAATCTTATTTTAGTTATTCGACAGTTATAATGTTATATGTGGTTTTGATTTTAAAGTCCTATTACAAACCGCCTCATGCTCACGATCAGTGACCGCGATCACAGATCATCTATGAATTTACAAATATTCGCCTTGTTTATTAGTGGTACAATTTAGCTTTCCAATTTGACAGAAGCAGAATTTATCAATTCAGTTACCTGTTTTCTTTGAGGACCTCATTTTGCCATCTGTGGCCTTGAAGTGTCCAGCGTATGATGTTTGATCAGCGAGATCACTGAAAATAAGAACAATTTTTAAGAACAACTGACTAATAATGGACCATGAGTAAATATTATATGATTCCATAACGGTTTGCTTTTTATAACAATTCCAAGATGTTCCTCCCTCCGCTGACTAATGTTCAGCAACAGTATAATTAATATGGAATATGAATTAAGAAACTACCTGAAGCAGATACATTTCAAAATGATCTCAATACTTTCAGTTTCAAATTTAATAATTCAATTTAATGTTTGAAATTCCAACCATTTCCATAATTGGAATCACAAATTTGAAACATTTCCGGTCAACTATAAAAAACATATAACACATAAGAATCGCTATGTAAACAAAATTGATGTGATCTGCACTGATGACTGAAGCACCCATGTTCACTACATTGATCTGGCTTACCCTTTAGCTTTAGCAGGAGCAGATTTGAACTTGGCTACTTTGTCAACTCCCACCGTTATTCCCGCCGAACTTCTCCTTGATGAAGGCAAACTTTCTACCTGCACGGGAAAGTGGTTTAGAGTCAGCCACTCACGATATTACGTCGATCCCGACACCAGGATTCCCGACGTATTTCAAGCCAAATTTTCTCAATTCCCGGGATAAAATATCTTGATTGGGATTGACTTTACTAATGACAACGTCCAAATTGTTGACTATCATGTTGTTGCGACAAGGAAAACACTTGCACTTTTTAAGAAAAGTAAGAGTCGACGTTTAATGATAAGAGCACGGTATCCAGATATAGTTCTCATCGTATAATTAACTATCATTCGAAAACAGAATTCTTGTGCCACATTTATTTGATCAAAATTTAGTACCGATACTTTTGATATATTTTGTTCTATTTTAGATGAAAAAAGAAGAAGAACTCAAGGGTTAAGGTTGAAGAGAGAACAGGTCTTAACTTAGAGATGGATTGTAAATTTTTAGTTTTAAAAAGTATAATAAGATCCCCAGTTTCAATACATTCTACGAGCGAAAATGAAACTAAATAAATTTAATTGCATCATAACCAATTCTGAATGACAATAATTATTAAGCAATAACAACTGTAAAATAAGCGCTGTTGAACTTAATCATGAATCTTATCAAAATATACATAAAGATTAAATAGTCAAAGTCGTTAAAAATGTTTGGATAAATTTATTACTATATTATCCTCTCAATATGAAGAAAAAAAAATCAAGTATTGTCCCCAGTAATCAATCATGATTGACCCTCTCAAAAGAGCGAAAAATGTTTGGGTAAATAACGATAATAACTTTTACTGGACCATTAATGAAATACATGTACATCCTGTATAAAATATTTATAATATGTACAGTAAATAAAAACGGTAGAATCACGTACATGTTCCACCAGCTAAGCACAACGAAAGATCAGGATGATGTCTGAAAATTTTAAATACAAAATTTAAGTCACGGAACACAGTCATGATGGATCAACTTAGGCAACTGCTCAATCCCGATTAGCAATTTTTCAGTGCTCTCATCATATTCATCAGCAAACTCTCTGAAAGCGAGCGCAATCTTTGAACCTTTAATGTCCTTTACACCCTTAACTATGTCCCATATACCTAACCCAATACCAAATGCAGCAAACACTCCTGAAAACACTTTAGCTGTGGTGGTGCCAGCAACTACCACTGCTTTACCAAAGAGTCCTGGAGCAGCAGCCCCCTCTGCTAAGTTCGTGGCATGGGCCACATCCGCTCTGATGAAAGTAGAAACATTATTTGCAAATGCGGCCAGTTTGGCAGACTTACCAAATGTAACTGTTCCATTGACAGCTTTTGCTAACCTGACTCCGTCCATAGCTACACTACCAGCACCTGTCAGCCCTTTAAATGCTATTCCAGCTTTGGATTTGGTCACACCTCTTTTCTTTAGATCAGTTAAAAGATTTAAATTGTCATGAACTCCTTTTAATAAAACGCTGATAACCTTCTCTTGGGCGTCGAATTTCTTTAAAGCTTCCTTAATTTTCCTCTTATCAGATCTAATGCTGATGTGTTTCACCATTCCTGCCGTGACTGAGGTACCAGCTCCTAAGATCCCCCCGGTCACTCCTCCAATGGTCAATCCTAATGAAGCAGCAGCAGTGAAAGGTGCCAGAATGATTCCCAAAATAGCTATTCCACCAGCCACTATCGTCACTGAGCCGCCCACCGTTCTAGCCATCCCAGATACTTTTACAAATTGTTCGACATGGTCAGCGTGGTCACGACAAATTTTCGAGAATATTCTCCGGTTAGTTAGGTAATCTTCTAGAATAAATCCATACAATTTGTGGAAGCTATCTTTACTTATGATCAGCTCGACTTGGTTAAGGAGCAGGAGTAGCAGCTCCGTATCATTCATTCTAAATGGCTCAAATGTGAGCAAATGTGTGAATGTGATTCATAAGAAAAATATTAGATATATTTTAAACTAATCAAAAGTAGGGACCATACATTTTATTGTTAAACAATATTTACTACCGTGACAAATCTTGGTCAATGGTCAAGACAATAAAGATGGTAATATCAAATTCAACCGAAAAAACAAGAAAACATAAAACTAAAAGCTACGCTGCACCACTGAAATGGGAACAGTAGGAAAATGGTTTGATGAACTTTTTTTAAAAAAGGTCATCAAAACTGATTATATAAACAATGAACTTCAACATTCGTATCAGTAACACATCTTCTATGTACATAACTGGTAACGAAAATGAGTACGAAATGTTCAGCAGAGAACAGCATATAAAATATAGATATATTCTCTAGCTACCAGTTCGTGGTCAACGCAGCTAGTCTACACTGTGTAGTATGTATCTTATGATGTATGCTTTAATATATGTAATATGACACTACCAGAAGTGATAAGCTGTATTGGGAGGATGGGTAATGATCACTTGCTATCTATCGCTGCTCACTAACTATCAGTATCAGTGAATTTATAAATCTCACCTTACTCCAATTGATGATTAGTGAGCAAATATAATAGATTTGTAGTGTTGTAATTAGTTTAGATGTACTAGCATAGTCACAACATCCACAAAGCTGCCATATAGCCTGACTGACAATTTTCTCGACTGACTGACAATGTTTCTTCTTTTTCCCCATTTAGAATACAAAGATTAGTACATTTTAGCTTATGATTAATATTATATTTTTACCTATAGTTTACCTAGATTTAGTGAGCAATAAGCTTACTTGAATGTCCAGGATCCACCAAGCATTAGAACCAGCGAGTTTCTAAAAGAGGAGGTAGCCTAATAAACCCTTCTCGACATGATATCCTAACTAACATAATATTGTGTAACTTACTTTTGATTCGCCTCGTTGATTTTTCGGACCTTAACCGTCATTTCACGCTATATGACGCTAGATGACGCTAGATGTTGAATTTCAACAATCGCTAAAGGTCCAATTTTTCATCTATTACAACTTTATTCACCTTTTGTATAAAACAATCTAAATTCAAAACGCACACCATTCTACTTCTAAATCATTGCGTAATGCGTATCACAATTTTGGTCAAGTAACCTAGAAAGCTGCTCGACTCCGGTTATTAGATTTGCAGTGTTCTCGTCATACTGATCAGCGAACTCTATATAATTATTTGCAATCTCCGAGCCCTGAATATCCTTGGTACCTGTAACTATGTCCCAGACACCAATTCCGATACCAAACGCAGCAAACACTCCTGAGAATACTTTAGCTGTAGTGGTGCCAGCAACTACTACTGCCTTACCAAAGAGGCGCAGTCCTGGAGCCTCTGCGATGGTGCTTACAGCAGCTGGATCAATAAAGTTGGAAACATTATTTGCGAAGCTGACAATCTTGGCTGAGTCTGCTAATTTGACTGTGGTCCCAACTGTTTTAGCTAGTCTCACTCCTTTTATTGCCATACCACTGGCGCCTGCAAGTCCTTTTATTGCGATCACAACTTCAGTTGGACCTTTTTTCATGAGATAAGAAAGTTTATTTAAGCTTTCGTAGACCCCTTCTAGCAGGTTATTTATTATATCCTCTTGGGTTTCGAATTTCTCCAAAGCTTCCTCAATTTCCTTCTTATCCGACCTTATATTTGAGTCTTTGACAATTCCGGCGGTGACTGATGTTCCTGCTCCTAACATTCCAGCTGCCACTCCACCGACAGTCAATCCTAATGAAGCAGCAGCAGTCAAACTGAAAGGTGCTAAAATAATTCCTAAAATAGCAACTCCGCCAGCCACAATCGTCACTGAGCCGCCGATCGCTCTGGCAATCCCAGATCCTTTAACAAATTGTTCAATGTGGTCAGCGTGGTCTCGACAAATTTTCGAGAAGATTCTTCGGTTGGATAAATAATCTTCAAGAGTAAATCCATACATTTTGTAGAATTCATCTTTGCTAGTGATCAGCTCGACTTGGCTTAAAAGCACTTCTAACAGCTCTGTATCATCAGAATGACACATCCTACTTTTGCTTAATCTTAAATTTAAACATTAAAAACGTTTTAAACATTTAAAGCTAAATCAAAGAAAAGTTGTTCATAATCATAATGTAAATTTAAATAATAATGATAGACGTAAAGTATAGATATAATAGAAAGCGAGCGACACACAATTGCAACAGTATTAGAAACGTAGGGTCATGTGATCCCTAAGAAGTTTAAAGGCTAAATCAATATGGTATGGCTTCATGTTTGGTGTAACATAACCCAGTATTACACAGCTTATCTACATGAATCAAACTGATAACAGACATAATTTTCAGAACAGCAAAATCCTGTCGACCTGTTCAACACCGCTTATTAGAAAATTATCTTATCAACTAATCACCTGACATTGAATAATCAAGTTGTCAAGAATCTATAAAAATGTTAAGAACCGGGACACTAACAATTGCTGGTTAATTTTAAAAGGTTTTATTAATACAAATTATTAGAATATGGTGCTATAACCATCCTGACACCGTGGATCCATTATAAGTACTAGCAGGAACCCGTCTAACCCTAAAATGGTGTCAAGACTCAAGAGACTAAAACAATTATTACCTATTTAATTCGCGTTTTTGACACCACTTGGGGTACCAAATTTTGGGCTCTAAAACTCCTATTTCTTGGCCAATTTTTTATTTTTTCATGCTGATTTGGAGGCCATTAAAGCATTTGACCCAGTCAAAAAGGTTTCAGTTGTATATCTTTTACGGTTTTTGCAGAAATTCGCGTTAAAGTTGATGCCGTGGTGTCAGTAAAATGGCACGGATAAATATATATATATATAAGTTTTGTACCGTTTTGAGTCAAATAGTTTTGTACGTCTTCCTAAGACTTGTTTTCCTTTCCTAGTTTGTAAGTTATTTTAAAGATTTGTGTATATTCCAGTTGCTTTTAGAACAAATTTATCTCAGATAACGATGTTTAATAAAATGATGCAAAGAACTATTTCGAAGATCTAATCAACACCGACTTTTAATGTGTAGGAGTACAGCAACGAAATATATATATATATCGTCTCGCTTTATATA